AGATGGACCTGGCTCCCAGACCACTTCATTGAGCTGAAGTGGTCTGGGTGCCTATAGTGGTCCTTTAAGGGACCAACCAACTATTTGCTGGTAGTGGTTTGTTACTTTGTTCAAAGCTGGCCTATGGCATTCAGAGGCTTCTCCACATCCTGGATGTGGTGAGTCTCCCAAAAATTATGTTTTTCTGCACCAAGGATGAGTAAATGGCTGTTCTCTTGGTCTCCCGGCTTAAGTCTCTGATTTAACAGGCTTATTCTTGCAGGTTTACAAATGGCCACTTGCTTCTCCTTGCACACTATTGTGAAATGTTGTTTGAATCTGATTCTTTCTCTTGCTAGAAAGTTCAACCGAAAGTCATTCCCCTTTAGTCTTTTGTCACCTTTTCATTGCCCATGCTGCCTTTTTATGTGGCTCTTGTCGGCACTGCTTTAAAATACCTTATCCAACAAGTAATGGATTCTAGTGGGCAGTGACAATATTAACATGACATTTTTAATTCATGCTTACTGATAATGCTATTTTCATCTGTGTAGTCAAGGGCCATGGCACGATACAATTGAATCCTGAGCAGATACTTTGTGCTTTTCTTTCCTGCTGGCTTTCTTCTCCTCTGCTTCGCTAAAGGCCTAACTTTGGCATGTACTGTTGGAGGAGTGTGCATTTACAAGGCTTTCTAAGATTCTTACTACTACTCCAATGGGGGATTGCAATATCCCACAACTATTGGATTTTTGTGGAATGTGAGTACCTATAGATTTATCATTAGACATAGATTTTGTTTTTAATGAATAGAACCCTGCAAGCCTTACTATTTTTACATACTCAAGTTTGCTGTAGAGCTTTCTTAGAGTTCTAGCTCCTCAAACTCTGAAACCATAATGTCATAATACAAATATAAACTGTTCTGGTGGTATTTTTTTATTTTCTTCTTCCCTTACCCATAAAGCTCTACCAGATATTATTGCATCTGTCTGTAATGTGCCTTTAAATATGCTTGTCCACCTAAAAATGACCTTGTCACCTACCTTGACAGATTACCTTTAAAGCAATATTACCATGCTGGCAGTTTTTGCTTGCTCATGTGTTTTGTGTTTCTTCCTTTTTTTGAGATGTAATTTTAAAACGTAGCCTTCGGGGCTAAAATAGTGAGTAGACAGGAATAGTTTCTGCCAGATAAAAAGATGATTAAAACAACCGAGGCATAACTATTTTTGGGAATGTGGCCACGTCAGTCTTTCAGCTTGTTTTATACAGATGCACTCTCCTGAACATTACGTTTCCATTTCTGCATTGCTTTTCTCAGAATTGATATTATTCTTGGTCCAGTATAACAACATTGTTTATTTTCCTGCTTATGAGATTTTCAATTATAGATGGGCTTATTGTGTTTCTCTTGAAAAGAGAAAAGAAAAAGAAATAAAACAATAAATCAAGCAGGGACCATGTGTTATTTATCCCCAATAGCAAATATATCTTAAAATCTGATTGACTGTATTAGAGTATTTTTGGTAACACGGATTATTGGGTCGATATATTGCTAAGATAAATGTGCAGAAAATATGCAGTGTTCTTGGTCTGACGTTTGTATTTTTTCCTTTGTTTCTTTGTCATTTACTATGTTCTTTCATATTAAGGGTGCATCCACACTGACAATGTTACATTGGCACCTTCTTAGTAATACATCACTTTTCTGCTATCACTTCAGCAGCAGCTTTTCTTATTATCCCTGCCTTCATGATTGCTACAGTAGTTTAGCATCAGTCGTAGCATGCTCAGAATGGACATATTTGTGACTGCTGTATGATCTTGAAGGCATTGCTGCAAACGTTAATGCCATCAAAGCTTATTAAGCATATATAGTATGATCATTTCACTTTTCTTAAGCATTCTGGTAACTCCAAATCTACATTGCGCCTTGCGTTTTTAAATAGGAATGGTGAGACAAAATGCAATGTTCCCATCAATTAAATGCAAACAAAATCCCAACTTTTTAGCATGTATATATGTATATATTTATTTTTAAGTTTGTCATAGTAAATGGAAAACATCAGACAGCATGCTTTCGGTATCATTATACATTTGCTGTATACACTGTATCGTCAGTGGTGTAGTTCTTTACCTTTTTTTTTTTTTATCATTTATCAGTTTACTCTTTTATGGTAAATAGTATTTTGGCAGATTGTTTGTTTATTACTGTGATGTAGTTATATGTACATAAGTGGACATTTTTTAACCTGTTTGTTTCTTCTTTTTTTTTTCCTTTTCTTTATATAGGTGGCATATTTGAAGATCTGAAGATTTCTTTTAAAATTGCACATTATTTTTCCAGTAAGCAGATAACTAACTGCAATCCAGTAAATAAAGTTTTTTGTTTTTTTTTAATATTGCTTAAAGCATAGCTGACCTGGTTGTTAACTGTGCAGGTGTGGTACATGTGATTTACCCTCAAGGAAAGAATACAGTCTCCTAAGAGGTAATGGTGGCCTGTTCGGTGATACATAAAGCACTATAATCAAGCCTTCTACATTCCATTTTCCTTAATATAAATGAAGTTATTTTTAATCCCTTGATGTTATTGCTCTTTGGGAAATAAAAAAAACTTTATCTTTCTTGAATAGAGTGATTTTTTTTTTTTCATTTACAAGAGACATGACGGACAAACACAGAAAACCATCTGGGGCACATTAACATTAGGCTGTGTGTTCTTCCATCCAGTGGAATTGTCCACTTTCTGCCAACTGATTTGTGACACTCACAGAAGAATAAGACCATACCAGAATAACAATCTGCCCTGGCATTCAACAATTTGAGGTGCATAAATTCACGGAGAGTACCCGGCTCCTAAAATCAAGTCGAAATTACAATTATAATAATGGAACTATGCACACTCAAATCCCAAAAAGAGTATTTTATTTATTAATTCATTTATTTTCAAATAATTATTTTTTAATGATTTTCAAATTCTTTACAATAACAGAACAAAATATATATAAAAAAAACTAAATTAAAAAAAGGGGGGGGGACGGGGTGGAAAAGAAAAAAAATTAATCTAGATTAATATAGACATATTTGGATTGTCTAGTAAGCCTTAATACAAAACAATAATGCATTTTGTATAGGAAATATTAAAATAAATAAAGGTGTAGTTGTCTAATATCTCCAAAATGGCTATAAAATGGGTAATTACTTCTCATAAGGTAATTGTACAGAGAAAATCTTTTAACAATCTTTTCCTCCCATATATCCCAATAATATTTTAGGCTATTTGTAAATGAAGACGGGTGTTTAATAGCTAATTCGTATTGATCTCCCACTACTCCCTGGTTAGTCAGGATCAAATACATTATTTTGAAACATTGGAAGATTTTACCCGGCGACTCACTTTTACAAGTGACGTGATGGAAAAAGTGTAAAGAGACTACATCTCGGATGATCACGGTCTCCTTACCAAAATTAATCTCCTTCAGATTTGTCAGAATCTCTAAAAAGTGAGTGGTGTCTTTGAGATGTGATTGTTGCCACTGTACGACATTCTGTGTACAGAGGAACACTGCTACCAGCTGGAGCAACTAGTTAGTAGCTGCAATGTTTCAAAATAATGGATTTGATCTCCTGACTAACTTGGGAGTAGTAGGAGATAAAGGGGATCCTACCCATAGACTTCTTACACTAGTCCCTAATGCAGTAAATTCCCTCTTTTACAGGAATCTGTTCTTTCCACCTATTTCTGAGGGGGCTTATTAGGGTATTCTCTTTATTTAAATATGTTTTTTTGGTATGGTAGGGGAAAATGGTCAAACCTCAAAAAAAATTTACGGTCAGTCTCCTTTGTGAAATTATCAGTGTAATGTTCTCTTTCTGACCAGTATACCAATATTTTACTTGCAGTAAACTGGATGTTTTTTTCAGGTCCCTTCAGCACGTCAACGAAGATCAACCCAAAATCCTCTGCAAAACATAAAGATCTCATCTATATGCCTGTTTCACACTATAGAATGCTTGAAAAACAAACAAACTGTGGGTGTAGATCCTATTATTCTCATATTTGTTCATAAAGATGTTGGCATAGGTGGGGTCTACATTTGAGCCCATCATGGTCCCCTTACCCTGTAGGTAATTGTGATCACATAATAGAAATTTGTTCAATGTAAAATTCAGTAAGAAGTATATACTGTTTTGTGTCTGTATTCCATATGGTCTCAGTGTCTCTCTGTAATGTCCAGTCAAAATCAGCAATAATATCATCATGATTAATAGAACTGTAAAGAGAATACACCTAAGGTCACGTTATCAAAATTAGTGTCCTTCAGATTTTCTAGAATCTCTAAAAAGTGAATGGTGTCTTTGAGATGTGATTGTTGCTACTGTACACATTCTGTGTACCGAGGAACACTGTTACCAGCTGGAACAATGAGTTAGTAGCCACAACTGTTGGGCAACCCAGAGGATGAATAAGGTTCATATAAGTCTTTGCTAAAGTGTAAAACACAGGGGTGATCGGATATCTGGTTTGCATGATGTCCTTTTCTCTTTTTGAAATAGTAACATTTCTTTCAGTTTATTCAGCAAGTAACTCCAGTTTATGTTGTAATCTGGCTTTCAGGGTCTCTATCTTTCTTCACATAGTTGGTCCTACAGAAGAATGAATCCCCCAAGCCAAAAAAGTTGCATAAAAGCCTCCTAATTGTCTCACTTCAGAAGCCATCATAGACACCAATGCGTGCCTCTCTTACTGGCTGACACAATTCTGCTTCCATGTGAACAGTCTCCTTGGATGAACATTGAACAGATCCTCTTTAGGAAGTAAATTTAATATAAAAAATATGAGATTGGTATCTTTGGCTTTGCAGAACCTTCCTTTGCTACACTCTACACTCAATTTAAGAGAATGATAACATTTAATCAGAAGAATTCACCACAATTGTGGACTTATTTTTAATTGTGTACTTTTTCAGTAGTATTTTGATTTTACTCTTATTAAAGTTTTGTTGACAGTACATGACAAATTCATGTAAATCTAGTTTACACATAAATGTCAAGTATCCTGTCTGGGCAGACTTTCTTTCTTCAGTTGCCTAAACAGTAAACATTACGTGTCTCTCTTTCACCCTGGTGCCTCAACTGTGTAACTGTTTGTAACCTGCAATAAAACATACGTAGGGAGCACAGGCTACATTCCATCTGTGTGCCACTATCCATCCAACTTCCAATAAGTGCCCTGAATCCTAGGAGTTTACCAAGAGAGTTCACCAAGGAGGAAAACAGCAGACAGTGCTTCAATCAACATTCTCATTATCATCCACTAGCTGTTTTGCTTGCTGCATTTAAGTTTGTGTTCTGTAACTAGTCATATGTGTAGTTTGTACTACTTCCTCACCATATATGCATTTGTAACCTATTAATTTTAGTTTTCATATCCTCCTCCTCCATGGCTCCAAATTTGACCGTGTTAATATTCCTTGTAACCGCCTTCACACTCCTGTTATGTTCCTACCACTACCCTCTTAAGCACCACTCTCCACAATCTGAGAACCACATTCTTATACATCATAGCCCGCTTTGTTGCTGTAATTTGTCTGCTGAGTGTTGAAATCAAGCCCTCCCACCCTGAACCATTGCAATACTACCAAACTAAGATTATGTCCAAATTCCTATTACTCATGTTACTTGCCCTTGCAAATGATGAAGAGTTCCCCCAACACATTCCATTCCTAGCCTTCCAGCTAAAAGAGGCCTCTCTTTTGTGCACTCTAATATCCGCAGCTTACTAGCAAAAATCGATTCACTGCAAGCATGGTGTTCACATTACAAACCCAAAATCATTGTGATTCCTGAGTCGTTGCTAACTGCAAAAATTCCTGACTCTGCCATTGCAATACATGGATATTCATGCCATGGAAATGACAGAACCTTTGATTTCCTTTCTGGTACAATTGAGGTCCTGTGCAGTAAATCAATCGTTGCAGGAATCTACCGCCCACCTAGCTCTCCAGTGCATTCCCTTTCTGACATAGCCCATCTCCTTAGTGAAACCATGGCTCAAAACTCAAAAAGTGAACTGTTGGGCTTTGGAGATTTTAATATTGGCTAAATCCTAAAAATAATAGTAATAATAGTTCTTGCTCGCTGTTTAAGATTTTGCAGCTAACACAATTAATCTCCTCCCCAACTCGTATAAACATTAAAAGCCATAACCATACCCTATATTTTATATATATATATATATATATATATATATATATATATATATATATATATATATATATATAAATTGAAATATATTTATATATAATATAAAAAACACATAAAAACACTAACTTTGACCAGCGTTTGTGACTAAGTGGCTACTACAAAAGACTGGAAATACCCCATTTGGAATACCCTGGGTGGCTACATTTAAAAATGGTATGGAATGATGGAGGATGGAGTTCCCACTCAGCTTTTTCCTATTCTTTGTTCTGTGTTCCAAGCCTCTTTCTGTCTTTACTTCCGGTTCCGGTTGGCGCACTCTTCATTTCGTTACGTCCATTATTGATGACGTATGCGTTCCAAACCTCACATCATGCGGTTCACCGATTGTCAGGGTACCTGTTGGTGATGTATCCAGGGAGGACATCCTCTCTGCTTAGGGGCTCCCTTCCCCTAGCATTTCGGCATATTTCGGCCGTTTTCGCGCCGGCCGCGCTAGCTCCTCCCCCTTTTATGACGCGACGGCTAGCGTCGACGTCATGACGTCGGCATTTGCATAAAGTGCCGGGAACCGCTATTCCGGACCTTTTGGGGGCGTGGTCTCTATTTAGGTAACAGGGTATTTAAAGGAAACCTTTACTACTGCTCATTGCCCTGTCGTGGTTCTAGCTTGCTAGTCACTCAGCGCGTTCTTTATCTAGTGTTTCCGGTTTTGACCCTTGCTTGCCTTTTGTCCTGTTGTCCTCTCCTCTCCTTTGACTCGGATTGTATCTCGCTTACCTGTCCTCCGGCTCCCTTGACCTCGGCTTACCTTTTGACTATTCTTGCTTTGTCCTTACGTTAGTCCGGCCATTCTAAGGTCCGGTATACGTACCTCCTTCTGTGCGCACTCTGCGTATTGGATCCCTGTCAGTTTCCTGACATTACGACAGGGCCATGATGGATCCTGCAGGTGCTAGTCCTCCTGACCCCAGATTTGAGGCCATGGACCATAGAATGGACCAAATGGCTTTAGCGTTACAAACTTTGTTGACACGCTCCAGTACCCAGTCTGAAGAAATACGTTCCACTGCTAGCCACTCGCTAAGTACTGGTTTGGAAGTAGCCACTGTAGGCGCATCTTCCCATGTCACGTCACCATTACGATATGGGGGTTCGCCTGATGCTTGTCGTGGTTTTTTAAACCAGATAAGTATACATTTCGAACTACAACCCCGGGCTTACCCCACTGACAGGGCTAAGGTAGGCTTTATTATAACCCTGCTAATAGATAAAGCACTTAGATGGGCCAATCCCCTTTGGGAGAATGACAATCCTTTAGTCTACAACTACACTGCGTTTGTCACGGCTTTTAGAAGAACCTTTGACCCCCCAGGGAGGAAGATTAATGCGGCCAGATCCCTGTTACGCCTTAAACAACAAGATAGGACCCTTGTAGAATATGCTCTAGAGTTTAGATCATTGGCAGCAGAAGTGAAATGGAGCGAACAAGCTTTTATGGATGTTTTCTTGAATGGGTTGTCTGATGAAATTCTAGATGAAATTGCCACTAGAGAACTTCCGGAAAATTTAGAGGATTTAGTATCCTTCATTTCCAGAATAGATGAACGCATGAGACAGAGGCAGAACACTCGGGAAAGAGTTACTAGACTTCCTGTAAGACTCGCTCCCTCATTTCAGAACCCTGACTCCTATAATCCTACTCTACCAGAACCTATGCAAATAGGTAATACTCGCTTATCTGAGGCTGAGAGACAGTACAGAAGAAGGGAGGGTCTCTGTTTATACTGCGGGCTGAGAGGTCACCTACGTCTCAGTTGCCCTAATCGTCCGGGAAACGCTCGCACCTAAGTTCCCTTAGAGGACGGGCCTTGGGTGTTTCATTACTGTCCTCTATGCATAATAAAAAAGACCATAGGCTTCTGATTCCTGTCTCTCTAGCTTGGGAAAAGGGGTTTATTACTACGATGGCATTATTAGATTCTGGAGCAGCAGAAAGCTTTATAGACCAAACTTTCGCTAATATGCATTGTATCCCATTCCAATTGAGAGATACACCCTTGGCCGTTGAGGCCATAGATGGTAGACCTTTATCTGAACCAGTAATATTCCATGAGACCGAACCCGTTAAGCTTACTGTTGGTATTTTCCACGAAGAGTTGATTTCCCTTCTGTTAATTTCCTCTCCGGCAGTCCCAGTGGTTCTAGGATATTCTTGGCTCAAGAGACACAACCCTCAGATTGACTGGGAGGGTGGAGAAATCGTTTCTTGGGGTATGGGTTGTAGGAAAGAATGTCTGCAGAGAGTTACTTCTGTTTGCCCCGTGAACTCTTATGCTAACACTTCTCAATCCACAGACGTTCAGATACCATTACAATATCTAGACCTCAAATCTGTATTTGACAAGGGTAAGGCGGATACTTTACCTCCCCACCGGTCTTATGACTGTTCTATTAAACTTTTCCCTGGTACTATGCCTCCCAGGGGTACGGTATACCCTCTATCCACCAAAGAAAACTTAGTTTTAGAGGAATATATCAAGGAGAATTTAGACAAGGGATTTATTAGAAAGTCTTCTTCTCCGGCGGGGGCGGGTTTCTTTTTTGTAGAAAAGAAAGACGGTACCTTACGTCCTTGTATAGACTATCGGGGATTGAACAAAATTACTATCAGAAATGCTTACCCTATTCCTTTGATTACTGAACTCTTTGACAGACTAAAGGGGTCAAGTATTTTTACTAAACTTGACTTAAGGGGAGCATATAACTTAGTGCGAATTAAACAAGGAGATGAATGGATGACAGCATTTAATACCCGTTACGGGCATTATGAGTATACCGTAATGCCGTTTGGGCTTTGTAACGCCCCGGCCGTCTTCCAAGACTTGATCAATGAAGTTCTTAGAGAATTCCAACATGAATGTGTAATTGTATATTTGGATGATATACTAATCCATTCTAGAGACATTAATTCACATCATAGACAAGTCAGAAAGGTATTACAGAAACTTTTACAACATGGATTGTATTGTAAATTGGAAAAATGTAGCTTTGACCAGTCTCAGGTAACTTTCTTAGGTTACGTAATTTCCAAAGACGGGTTTATGATGGACCCGACCAAACTAAAATCGATTTTAGATTGGCCTTTACCTAAGGGACTCAAAGCCATACAAAGATTTCTTGGATTTTCTAATTATTACAGACGTTTTATTAAAGGGTACTCCTCTGTTATCGCTCCTATCACTAATATGACCAAACAAGGAGCCGATACCAAAACCTGGTCTACTGAGGCTTTATCTGCTTTCGAAACGCTCAAACAGTCTTTTGCCTCAGCACCTGTATTAGTTCATCCTGATACCTCTCTACCCTTTTTACTTGAAGTTGATGCGTCTGAAACAGGGATAGGCGCAGTGTTATCCCAAAGACAAAGTTTAGATAAGCCGCTGCACCCTTGCGGTTTTTTTTCCAAGAAACTGTCACACACTGAAAGGAGATATGACATTGGTGATAGAGAACTTTTAGCTATCATTATGGCATTAAAGGAATGGAGACATTTGTTAGAGGGCACCGTCCTCCCAGTTACTATCTTGACTGACCACAAAAATTTATCGTATATGGGGGAGGCCAAAAGATTATCTGCCAGGCAGGCACGTTGGTCTATGTTCCTTACACACTTTAATTATGTGCTTACTTACAGGCCTGGTTCTAAGAACACTAAAGCAGACGCTTTGTCACGTCAGCACGAACCTACCACCTCTACAGAGGATACTTTGTTCCCTATTATTCCTGAAGTCAATATTATCGCCAACACCAATGTCAAAATACACTCTCCATTGCTCGCTGATATTCAGAACGAACAATCTCTTGCTCCCGAACGTACTCCTGTGGGCCGCTTGTTCGTGTCTCCCAAATTCCAAGTGGACATTATTCGCTGTTTCCACGATAGCAAGATCGCTGGTCACCCCGGCATCCACAAAACTTACTGCCTGATCTCAAAAGACTTCTGGTGGCCCGGTTTACGTAGGGATGTGGAAGACTTTGTCAAGGCTTGCAATGTTTGTGTCAGGAATAAACTTCCGCGGGATCTCCCTTGTGGTTTATTGCAGCCCTTAGTCGTTCCCAACAAACCTTGGGCTTGCTTGGCTATGGATTTTATTGTTGATCTACCAGCTTCCAATAGGCATACAGTTATCCTCACGGTCCTTGACAGGTTTACTAAAATGGCTCATTTCGTTCCCTTGCCTAAACTTCCGTCCTCCCCCGAACTGGCCGTGATATTTGCTAGAGAAATTTTCCGTTTACATGGTATTCCCAATGAGATTGTGTCAGACAGGGGTTCCCAATTTATTTCCCGTTTTTGGAGATCCTTCTGTTCACAGTTGGGCATCAAACTGAATTTTTCTTCGGCCTATCATCCTCAATCTAACGGAGCAGCCGAACGCACTAACCAAAAAATTGAGCAATATCTACGTTGTTTTGTTTCTGAACACCAGGATGACTGGGTCGGTCTGATTCCTTGGGCGGAGTTTGCTCACAACAACCTTGTTTGTGGTTCCACTCATAATAGCCCCTTTTTCTTGAACTATGGCTTTAACCCTACTGTTCTTCCGTCGGTGTCTCCTTCCCAGGGTATACCGTCGGTTGATATTCATATAGCCAACCTGAGAAAGTTGTGGGATCAGACTCGACAAATTCTTGAACGTAGTTCCGCGGTGTTTAAGTCACATGCTGATAGGCGTAGACGTCCTGCTCCTATTTTTTCTCCGGGGGATAGGGTCTGGTTGTGTACCAGACACATTCGCCTGAAAGTTCCTTCCTTGAAGTTTGCTCCTCGTTACATTGGTCCTTACAGGGTACTGAGGAGGATCAACCCGGTTTCTTATTTGCTGGATCTACCTCCTACTCTACGCATCCCTAACTCTTTTCATGTGTCTTTATTGAAACCTCTTGTTTGTAACAGATTTTCCTCCCGCTCTACTCCTCCATCCTCGGTCCGTGTGGATGGTCAGGAGGAATATATCATCAAGTCCATCCTTGATTCTCGTATTTCTAGGGGGAAGCTGCAATACCTCATAGACTGGAAAGGTTATGGTCCAGAAGAGAGGTCTTGGGTTCCTGGTATAGACGTGCATGCTCCTCGTCTTCTTCGGGCCTTCCACGTTCGTTTTCCTTCTAAGCCAGGTCCCATCCGCCCGGTGGGCGTTTCTAGAAGGGGGGGTACTGTCAGGGTACCTGTTGGTGATGTATCCAGGGAGGACATCCTCTCTGCTTAGGGGCTCCCTTCCCCTAGCATTTCGGCATATTCCGGCCGTTTTCGCGCCGGCCGCGCTAGCTCCTCCCCCTTTTATGACGCGACGGCTAGCGTCGACGTCATGACGTCGGCATTTGCATAAAGTGCCGGGAACCGCTATTCCGGACCTTTTGGGGGCGTGGTCTCTATTTAGGTAACAGGGTATTTAAAGGAAACCTTTACTACTGCTCATTGCCCTGTCGTGGTTCTAGCTTGCTAGTCACTCAGCGCGTTCTTTATCTAGTGTTTCCGGTTTTGACCCTTGCTTGCCTTTTGTCCTGTTGTCCTCTCCTCTCCTTTGACTCGGATTGTATCTCGCTTACCTGTCCTCCGGCTCCCTTGACCTCGGCTTACCTTTTGACTATTCTTGCTTTGTCCTTACGTTAGTCCGGCCATTCTAAGGTCCGGTATACGTACCTCCTTCTGTGCGCACTCTGCGTATTGGATCCCTGTCAGTTTCCTGACACCGATATGTGCGACTTCCTCTTTCTGCCTTAATTAAAGTCCATAAGGTGCTCGAGCAGAGTAAAACATTACATAGACAATTAATTATACATAAAAAGCAACAATCTATTAAACTATACCACAAAAAAAGGGGGGGAAATAGAAAAAGAAGGGGGAGTGGGAGGGAGGGAAAGAACAAAAGGGACTCATATGGGAAGTTTCAGATAAATGACCAACAACCCAATGGTGTAGAAAAAACTTTATAAAATATAAAATAAAATACAATTAGAATGAACGAAAATGGGCGGTAACAATGGCTACAGCATACACCAGCTCAAATATATAAAGCAAAAAGCAGAAAGGTAAATTGTTAGTGTAGAGCTCACCTAAGAGGTTTACCTTGACAGGGCAACTGAGCTTGCACTTTCATGGCCATTGGAGTGCTACTAAAGCCTGTTGTTTACATGTGCATAGGGATTTGATATAGTGTGCAGTCTACTATTTATTTTATTTTATTTGCTTCTGCCATTTTGTCTTTAAAGACTTGGATCCAGAAGCACAGGAATCCATCTTGATGGGTAATAATTGAGGAAGGCATTCCAATCACTCAAATTTATCACAGGGTGGAAGCTCCTCTTTGTCAGAACAATAAATATGTTGTTGAGGAATTCCCCTGACTGCAGCCTTCTCAATGGCTGCCTTGAGTATGATGGAATGAACCGTATTGTCTATTAAAGACCTCTGTGTTCTGCTGGGCACAAACAGTATGGGAAAGCGTGATTAGATTGAACATTGACATATGATATAACCCACATACTGTTTCCAGAACCTACACATCACATCTGATGAGAACCCTTCTCAGTTGTGGGGAAAAAAAACGATGGCTGCCTGTCAATGGTACAAGGAAAAGAAGGATTTACAATAACTAAGCTTACCTGTGTTGAAATATGGAATGTCCAACATGCTTCACGACCTTAGTGTGATCCCTGCTGGGGTTAGAATGTAGACTTTGGAAATAAGTGGAGTCCTGGAAGAATGAGGGGTTCTTTTGGTGTTCTCTTGGGCCAGAAGGCCAGAAACAGATGGTGGCATGATCCCAATGTTCAGCCTGCTGAAAACCATGCTGGCTGTTATTGAAAACCCTTTTCCTAGATACCTGGACCTATTAAGGGAGGCTTACATATTTCTGCTTAATTTAACGCCTTAACTGCAAGATTGGTTCACTCATCTGGACCCCAAAGATGCATATTTTACCATCCCTATTCCTCCTCATTGCTGGACACTAGAAAAATCTATTATTAAATTTCCAAAAATGTTTTTATTAAAAACATAATTTATTCCAAATATCTTTTATATTTAAAATTAGCAGCATTTGGGAATTGAACTTGGCGACCAAGTCGAACAGATGCGTGCCGAGAGCGCTTCTGCAGTATCTGCCACAAAAACAGGGCCAACCCCAGACCTCGAGCTGGAAACCACCCCAATCTGCATCCCACGCAGGAGGAGTGAGCCGACAACTCGGGGGATACCTTACTCGATGCAGCCCTTTACTGGGAGCCGGCATCACGACATGCGTCCTTAGGGCTCAGGAGCCAGGGAGAGGCAGACGCTCTCCTTGCTCCATAAAAGCTATGGAGCAGACTTGTTAAACTCCCTCTCCCTCCCCCCCAGGACCAGTGGGGATTATCCCAGTCCCCACTGAGGTGCTAACCCACTCACATCTCCTGGAGCCAGCAGAGCTGTCTACTTATATACAGCATACCAAGATGGCACTTATGTGAAGCCTGCTGCCCTTTCTGTTTCCACTCTGTGAGCCTCAATGGAAGAACAGATCTCCTAGGTCTTTGAGAGACTATAGGCACAGCTCGTGCACAGGATCCAGCAAAGTGCTGTGCGATCAGGAGCTACACTGGTTCAGCCTGCCCTGTCCAGCTCAGACACCAAGCAGCTGCCCGCTGGGTGCAGTACGGATGCAACACTGAAAATGGCGAAGAGGCAGGTGCTTCGATGGACTCTGCAGAACCGAAGGCTTGGTCCTACCTTGGACCACTATCTATCCAGGTCACGGTCCAACAGGGGACAGTTCCTCAAGTGTGATTCGCACCCTTAGAAGGTCACTGCTGTTCGCATAAGAAAGCTTCTCTGTAATGAGCCTCAAGACAAATTCCTGGGCAATTTCTGCAGCAGGACTTGTGGGACTGGTGCTATGGACTGTACTGGAAGCTGGGGCTGATGGGGTGTGGTTGTGTGGGACTCGTGCCACTGTTGTTACCGGGGCAGTACCCACTATATGAGAGGAATTAGCTGAATCATTTTTTATGTTTTGTAGAGTCGGTAGCTACAGCTCTTCCATATTGTCTGAATATGACATTGGCCACCGGGGGTACCACTCAAAGTGTGATCCCTCACGTGGCAATGCACTTCTTCCAAGCTTTGGCTATATCTATGTATCTCTATAGCATCTATTACACCTACTCTCTGCATATCTAGATTATCTAACTTATCACAGCATTATTTGATTTTACAATTGTGCAATAGTCTAGCCTGAATGTTTCCCAAAAAAAAAAAAAAAGTGCTGTTAATTTAATATAAATGATTAAAAAGAGAGCGCATGTATTACAAAGTAGAAAACCTATGTAATAGTCTATATATATTTAAAATAAAACTATAAAAAATAGTACCCAATGTACTCAAACAGTATTAGCTGCTAAAACAAAAAGAATATTCCCAATTCCAAAAAACAAATGTAAATAAAAATTTCAGCGCTGAGTAGATAATCCCCTTAGAAATAAAAAAGGTGCATACATATGCAAAAAACGAAAAAATCAGGCAGAGAAAAGTGTCCAAAATATATAGTTCTGTAACAAAGTCCTATAGTGAGAAAGTCCAGATAACGTTGTGATATGTAGAAACTCAAAAGCATGTAGGAATACCTTGAGAAAAAAGAAACAAAAAAAGATACATAGCGTGATACTGTATCAAAATTTATTGCCCAGAATACAAATGGAAAAAATCCCCCCCAACTTCAAAACTCTTACATTAGATAAAATTTGGTACTCATCATAGTAGAAGTAGCTGATAAAGTTCTTTCAGAGCCGCTCGTGTTTTTCCCCCGGGGCAGCTCCTCTCCGGTGCACTCAGGAGGGCTGCCTGTGATGTCTTCTATGGAGGAACGCTAACTGAAAGTCCGGCTTCTGTAGATAACTAAAAGTGTCTGCCGCAGATAAATCTTGCAGATAGACAGTAGTGGCACCCTATCAACGCGTTTCGCCCTGCTAACGAGGGCTTTTTCAAGATAGGTGCTCGGAGCATTATTCGGCAGTTTTATACTTGCCGGGTAAAACAAATTCAAATCTCTTAAGGGTATATACCCCTCTTAAAACACATGTAAAAAGAAAAACATATTAAAAAAGCTGCAATTTGTATAAACAAGGACAAAATACTTCCCAACAATAGATATAAAATACTGCACATGAAACACAATTATAAACTACTAAAAAAATAATAATAAATTTATACACAGATCCAAAACATAAAACAGTCACTATAACAGTGATTGCTATATACATGTTTATACATCTCACTCCTGAATATCAATTTCCTAACTCTTATAATATCATGGGTATTACTTGATCATGATGTGTAAATAATAATAATTACATTCTTCACAGATGACCACAGAATATATAAATTTATCAGTAATTTTCATCAAGTTAGAAACCTAATAGCAGATAGTATCTCTAGAACTGTAAAAAGAAGAATGTACTAGCTGGTATAGACTTATGGCATAATAAGCTATGTCTAATACAGTAAAAACAAGATAAGGCATCTCATAATAGTATATGTTTCTATATTATAGGAACTCCTAACATATCAATCAAAAATTATATAATTCTCTATAAAATATATATATATAAAATTCCTAGTAATATCAGTACTTGTAGCAATAGAACAATATAGATCTAGGATTCCCAACCATTTGGGCATATAAATTACTACCTTAATCTGGACACTAAAAAATAGGGCAATTAACTAAATATTGTATATATGATTTACAGCATGGGCCGATATTAATGCTGATCCCATGCTATAGTATATTAGCTAGTTCCAGCTCTGCATTAAGACCCGAGGGGATCAGGGTCTTAAGTGTATAGATCCAAAACATCTCCCGGTATGTTAAGGATTTGCTCAACTCACCTCCTCTCCATGGTACTTCTACCCTTTCTATACCACAATATGAGAGAAGTGTAGGATCTCCATTATGGTGTGTTCTGAAGTGATTGGAGAAGGAATGTTTCTCAAAGCCCCTTTTAATGTTGTAAACGTGCTCTCTAAGTCTAATCTTAAGTGTTCTTTTAGTTTGACCCACGTATTGGAGGCCACAAGGGCACTCCAACTTGTAGATAACTTGTTTGGTATTACATGTGATACAACTCTTAATGTTAAACATTTCTTTTGTAATCGAGGACTGAAAGGTGGAATAATTTTTCCCTCTAGAGCTTAATTTGCATATATTGCAATTTCCACATTTATAGAATCCTTTTTGGCCAGTCAAAAAATGGTTGGGTCCTATAGGCTTATTATAACTATGTACCAGCCTGTCTTGCAGAGTGGGAGCCCCCCTAAAAATTACCGTTGGTTGTATAGGTAAAAGTGTAGCTAAAGCCGGATCCTGCCGAAGCAAATGCCAATGTTTTTGTATGCTTGTTTTTATGCAATTTGCTTGTGTGCTATAATTAAACACCAGAGGACACAAATTTTCTATGTCTTTATCTGTTTTAACTTTCTCTTGTTTGGTTTGTAACAGGGTTGCTCGTTCTATATTTTTCACTTTCTGGAGAGCTATCTCCAGTGTTTTCTCATTGTAATCCTTTTCCATAAATTGTTGTTTGACCTTTTGTGATTGTAGTTCATACACCTCTGGATCTGTGCAATTTTTTTTAACCCTTAAAAATTGACCAAATGGGATACTCGATAGCCACGATGGATAATGGCAGCTCGAGGTCCAAATGTAACTATTAACGTCTACACTTTTGAAAAAAGTCTTAGACTTCAAGGTACAATGTGGATCAATATAAAGAACCAAATCTAAGAAATCTATCTCCGTGGAACTGTACTTGTATGTAAATGATAGATTATATGTATTGGTATTAATGTATGCTAAAAATTCAATGAGATCTGCCTCCTTCCCCTTCCACACAAAAAAGCAGTCATCGATGTACCGTCTATAGAAGACCAGGTTCGCTCCCCACTGGTGTCCCTGCCAAACAAACTGATTTTCCCAGTGAGCCATAAAAATATTGGCGTAACTGGGAGCGAACCTGGTCCCCATAGCGGTACCGTTGGTTTGAAGATATATATCGCTGCCATACCAAAAAAAATTGTTGTTGAGTATAAAATCAATACATTCAATTAAAAATTCTACTTGTTCCACTAACATGGTAGGTTCCTCATACAGAATTTTTCTTATTGCCTTTAGTCCCAATTCATGTTTAATTACAGTGTACAATGATGTAACATCACAGGTTACCATTAACCAATCTTGTTCCCATTTTAAACCTTCTATACTTCTTAAAAGATCTCCACTGTCTTTTAAGTATGACCTTGCTTTTTTAACAAAAGGTTGTAATATAACGTCAATATACTGGGATAGATTACATGTGAGAGATCCTATCCCAGAGATAATGGGCCTACCTGGAGGATTTGAGAGGCTTTTATGTATCTTCGGTAACTGGTAAAATACTGGTTTTTTGGGATATATAACCATAACAAACTCCAGCTCTTTTTTAGTTAATATATTCAAAAACTTTCCCCTCTCCAGTATACTGAATAGACGTAGTTTAGTATCTGGTGTGGGGTCCCCCTTGATCAGTTTGTACGTAAGGGGATCATTTAGGATTCTCTTGCATTCGGTATTGTAGTCCTTAGTGTTTAGGACCACAATTCCCCCTCCCTTATCTGCCGGTTTAATTGTGATCTCAGTATTATCGCTAAGTTCCTTAAGTGCTGTACGTTCCCATACACTCAAATTTTGTTTGTGTTTCGCTATTTTCTTAGGTAACTTTTCTATGTCTGCAGTTACTGCCAGATTAAAGGCCGACATAGGGCCACTAATTTGGTTCAGCGGATAAAAGGTTGAATTATTCCTTAGAGTTGTATGGTGAAAGGTACTATACTCTAATTTTGGTGCCATATGGACCGGGTTGTTTAAAAAAAAATTTTTTAGGGTCAATTTTCTCATGTATTTTTGCACATCTAAGAATGCTGTAAATGGATCTGATTTCACCGTGGGAGCATATTTTAGTCCCTTGTTAAGCACTTTAATTTGGTTTTTAGTTAAATTAACCTCAGACAAATTAAAAATTCCTATTTGTTCTACTTTCTCATTTTCTTTTCTCCTACGATATCTCTTCCCCCCCCTGCATCCTCTAAAAGAGGTCTCTTTCTGGTGCTGGGTTTTGGAGGCTCTGGTTGGTACCGATTGAAGTATTGGCTTCGTGGTCCTAAAAAATCGTTCGAAGATTGTTGAGTTTCTTTTCTATTTTCTTTTTCAGCTATATTATTCGCCTCCTCTGTACGGAGTGTCTCAAACCTATTACGTGGGCGCCAACTATGGTTATGATGTTTAACCCTAGGTGTTGTGTCACCTTGGCTGCCTTGTGGTCTATAGGGATTCCTTCTTTTATTATAAGTGATAGTGGTCCAGTCACCGTTCCCAGCCTTCTTTGGAGTATATTGTCTCAACTTGAGATCTCCCCTTTCAGTCTGGTTATAGCCTGACATATTATCCGGAGCATGGGCATTTTTATAATATCCAGAATTCCTAGGGGCATTGTATTTCTTACCCCTAGGTATGGATTTATAGGGTCTCTCATTGTGAGTTCTCTTATAGTTTCTCACTTTATTGTCCCTAAAATCCTCTTGGTCCCTATCAAATTTACGTTTTTTTAAGGACACAGTTTCTTCAAATACAGAACTTAATTTTCCCTTTATTTTTTCCATAAGTTGTATACATTCTGGCAGTGCCAGATGGGGAGAAAGAATTTCTTTTATATTATTGATCTCCTCATCTAGGACTGCTAGCATACGTTTCCGTTTGCAAATAATATGGCTCATAAGCTCAAAAGAGCAATGATCCAAAATTCTATCCCAGACAATGTTAAAATCATCATCCTCTTTATCCGTAGCGGATTTTAACATTATACGCAAACCTCTCGGAATGATGCGTCTCTCCCAATATTGTTCTAGGGAGGCTATTTCTAATTTTAATTTCATTTCCTTAATAATCAACTTCTCAAGTTGGAACACCTGTTTTCTCCAGTGTGTATCCTTTACCATAACATGTTCGTTATGGTCATTTTTTAAAGCAAGGTCAATCTTGCACTGTTCTCTAAACGTGAACAGGGACATATTATTGTAATGTGCTGCTACTCTTATACGGGAAAATACAAAATACAATATAAATGATTAAAAAGAGAGCGCATGTATTACAAAGTAGAAAACCTATGTAATAGTCTATATATATTTAAAATAAAACTATAAAAAATAGTACCCAATGTACTCAAACAGTATTAGCTGCTAAAACAAAAAGAATATTCCCAATTCCAAAAAACAAATGTAAATAAAAATTTCAGCGCTGAGTAGATAATCCCCTTAGAAATAAAAAAGGTGCATACATATGCAAAAAATGAAAAAATCAGGCAGAGAAAAGTGTCCAAAATATATAGTTCTGTAACAAAGTCCTATAGTGAGAAAGTCCAGATAACGTTGTGATATGTAGAAACTCAAAAGCATGTAGGAATACCTTGAGAAAAAAGAAACAAAAAAAGATACATAGCGTGATACTGTATCAAAATTTATTGCCCAGAATACAAATGGAAAAAAATCCCCCCCAACTTCAAAACTCTTACATTAGATAAAATTTGGTACTCATCATAGTAGAAGTAGCTGATAAAGTCCTTTCAGAGCCGCTCGTGTTTTTCCCCCGGGGCAGCTCCTCTCCGGTGCACTCTGGAGGGCTGCCTGTGATATCTTCTATGGAGGAACGCTAACTGAAAGTCCGGCTTCTGTAGATAACTAAAAGTGTCTGCCGCAGATAAATCTTGCAGATAGACAGTAGTGGCACCCTATCAACGCGTTTCGCCCTGCTAACGAGGGCTTTTTCAAGATAGGTGCTCGGAGCATTATTCGGCAGTTTTATACTTGCCGGGTAAAACAAATTCAAATCTCTTAAGGGTATATACCCCTCTTAAAACACATGTAAAAAGAAAAACATATAAAAAAAGCTGCAATTTGTATAAACAAGGACAAAATACTTCCCAACAATAGATATAAAATACTGCACATGAAACACAATTATAAACTACTAAAAAAATAATAATAAATTTATACACAGATCCAAAACATAAAACAGTCACTATAACAGTGATTGCTATATACATGTTTATACATCTCACTCCTGAATATCAATTTCCTAACTCTTATAATATCATGGGTATTACTTGATCATGATGTGTAAATAATAATAATTACATTCTTCACAGATGACCACAGAATATATAAATTTAATGCCATACGTTTGTCTTGATCTGCTGATCTTATTGTGCTTGCTCCTCCTGTCATGGCAGTGCAAACTTTTATTATATTATGCACAACAAAAATAAAGAATTTTTAAAAATTAAATTAACAGCAATCGATGTGCACAAGGCTTTCATCATATATAAATAAATACATTGTTTGCACTGCATATAAACTCTGGTTAATGTCTCTTGATTTTCTGTTTTTTTACATAGAAAGATCTGGTTTAAAATAAAATTATAAATAATATTTAAAATCTGTAATAAAAAAATATTTATATACATTCCCAAAGACAAACAATTTCTTTGTCGGTGAATGAGTACATTAAACTGAACAGATGTACTGTAATACATTGTCTTTACTTTTAGAATCAACTTGGCAAGGAGGCCAAATCGTTACTTAACCCCTCAGTGACAAGACCGTTTTTCAATTTTCTTACCGTTAAGGACCAGGGCTGTTTTTACATTTCTGCAGTGTTTGTGTTTAGCTGTAATTTTTCTCTTACTCATTTACTGTACCCAGACATGTTATATACAGTTTTTCTCGCCATTAAATGGTCTTTCTAAGGATACCATTATTTTCATCATATAATATAATTTACTATAAAAAAATTATAAAATATAATGAAACAATTAAAAAAAAACACAATTTTTCAAAATTTGACCCCCAAACTCTTTTATGCATTTACAACTGCCAAAAAACACCCGTGCTAAATAGTTTCTAAATTTTGTCCTGATTTTAGAAATACCCTCTGTTAACATGTTCTTAGCTTTTTTTTTTTTTTTTTTGCAAGTTATAGGGCTATAAGTACAAGTAGGACATTCCTGTTTCAAAATAAATATTTTTAAAATGGATCAATAGTGACATTGTAACAATGTTATCTGTCATAAATCTCTGAATCACACCTCATATATTTTTTAAAGTAGACAACCTAGGGTATTTAATATGTGGTATGTCCAGTCTTTTTTAGTAGCCACTTAGTCACAAACACTGGCCAAAGTTAGCATTTATATTTGTGTGTTAAAAATGCAAAAAACTATTATCAACGCTAACTTTTGCAATACCTTGGGTTGTCTTTTTTTTTGCAAATGGTATGCCATTATGGGGGTAGTTCTCATTCCTGGGCTACCATACGCTCTCAAAGGCAACATAACCAATCTGACAAATTTCAATGTGAAAAAACCAGAAAATCAAGCCTTTTATTTGACCCTGTAACTTTCAAATACACTATAAAAACTGTACATGGCTGATATCAGCATATCTAATGGCTAATGTAGAAACTCACCTATTGAGGCTTGCCTTGACGTGGCAGGTGAGCTTATATATTCAAATGGCCATTGGAATAAAACTAAAGAGCCTCCATTTTGTTTCAATGTAAATAGGGATTCAGGCCAGAGCGCAGGTAACTTTCTTTTTGTTTTTACAATGTATTTTGAGCTGTTGGATAGTAAGCTACTGCTGCTCTAAGCGCAGTGCTTTATCTTTGTGTTTATACATACATACATGCATACTTGGATGGTTGAAGAGGCAAGTAGGGAAATGCCGCAGGTGAATTATGAGTTTTTTTTTTTTCCAGTTTTGTTTATGTGTATATAGTGTCAATCACTTCCCAGATTTTTAATCAATCATGCCACCTCAAGATCACATTTAGTACAACAAGAGTTGCAGAGCTACGATTACCTCCCCCTGATTTAGTTAATGGTAGATGATAGCAAACATTTTCATGCATTCTAAATACCAGCTTATCACTGCTCTTCATCCCTTTAACATGTGTGCATGTTCATATTGTTGTCAAAATAAAGATAAGCCAAAACTCAATTCAGGCACCCATCATTACTGAAAATTTTGATTAGAAGATTGGACATTTACTCAGCAGTCTACTAGACTTCCTGTGTCTTTATGTTGATTCAAATTGAATATGAAAGAGACTATTTCACAGGTGTTTCATGTAGGTGTGCAGACACAGCCATATTACTACATTGGAAGCACTTTAAATCTAAGTGTCTTATTATTCAGCTTAGTAATAGTGTGTATAGAACTTTAATTATTTTTTTTTGTGTGAGGTGACATTTAATTTTCTAACTGACAATTTGATGTTTGAATAAGATTGGTTGAATAATAATCAGTAGTTTTCGTCAAAACAGATGTTATGTACAATAATAATTTATCTTTCTGTATTGTTAAAACGCTGTTGAAATACAATGTAACCCCCATGCTTTTGCACTTACCTTTTTTGAAACAGAGTATGTAAAAATAAAATAATCTTGAATAAAAATTATACCTTAAAAAAGAACAGTACTTTTTATGTTTGTTAAAGCGGCACTGTCATACCGAACTTAACTTTCCCCAATCGATTCCTTTTCTCTCCCTCTGTCAGGATCTGTTCTTCATTTCTTCCTGTCTGCTCTAGTTTTCTTTAAAACATAAGACAAAATAGGGACAATTTGTCTTATGGAGGTTTTCTACGCCTGACCATCTCTGACCAGCGGAGGAGCAAAGTGTGCTCCGTTTCCTGTGGTCAGAAAAATTACCTTTCCTCCGTGATCTCTGATGCTTCCCATCAGTATTCCCGAATGTCCTTTCATTTCAGACAGAACAGCGTCAAAACTATCAAATTTCGTCCTAACAGAATGAGAACAGTTTCTCCATTTGTGTTAGGACGCAATGCAGAACTTTGTTCGGATCGGAATTTCATTTGAATTAACAAAATTCCGAACCGATTCGTGCCACAGCTGCATCTTGCAGCCGCTTAGTAGATTACTCCCTAATTCCCATGGTATTAGGGAGCTGTCTACCAAAAGTTTGAAAGAGAAAATTGGTGTTTCAGAAAATTTAATAAAATGAAGTAAAGATAACTATTACTAAATTCTGCCCCTACTCGCTATATCGCGAGTAAGGGCATGTCTACTAAATTGCGAGCAGCCTGTGGCTGCTCACTGTTGTAAAATAAAAGGCCCCCTAGTATCCCCCCTCCCGAGCGGCATGGGTGGGTGCTATTAAACTGAAGAGGGGACCCAGCGTCCCCACCGGCCCCCACCCATGAGTGGCGGATGGGGGCCCTAAATGAAAATGGGGGTACCTATTGTCCTCCTCTCAGGCCCCCACCCATGAGCGGCGGGTGGGGGCCCTAAATGAAAATGAGGGGGACCCCTTGTCCCCCCACAACCCCCATCCATGAGCGGCGGGTGGTCAATGAAAATGGGGGGGGACCTTTTGTCCTCCACCCATGAGCGGCGAGTGGGGCCCTAAGAAAAATGGGGGAGGGGAAACAATAGGTCCTTCCCCCCATTTTTATTTAGGGCCCCCACCACACACACACAAAAAATCAACCCCACACTTTATCCATTTAAATTATATGTCCCCTTTAAAACTACATTTTTGACATTCTACTTTTGACTTGAATGATTTTTTTAGGGAACTCCATTATGTAATTTAATAAATTTAAAGAAAAATTTGTTTTGCCAGATCATATTTTTCCAGAATTAAATTTAATAATTCAGGCCCCGTCCAAACATGTATTCTTGACCTTACAGTGTTAAAACCACCATTTAGGTGGCTTGTCCCCTTAGAAGGAGTTAAAACTTATCTTATTTCAAGGGTTGCGCAGGTCCACCGGTGCTGGCTCCACCCCTGATCTGCCTCCTTGGTGACATCATCAGAATTTACTATTTTTAGCCAATCCATAAGAAAGCATTGGTTTGGCTGAAATCGACAAGGAGGTGGGATGGGAATGAGACCAAATGCCATTTTGGCCAATCGGCACCTCCTCATAGAAATGCACTGAATCAATGCATCTCTATGAGGAAAATCCAATGTCTACATGCAGAGTGTGGAGATGCTGAACAGCAGTGCGGCCTACTGTGCAGCACTGTCCCAGGAAGGACCTCTAGTGGCCATCTGAGGAGTGGCCACTGGAGTTGCCTATGGGGGGGCAATGTAAACACTTTCTCTGAAAAGGCAGTGTTTGCATGAAAATGCCTGAATGCAATGATTATACTCTCCAGAACAACTACATTAAGCTGTAGTTGTTTTGGTGACTATAGTGTCCCTTTAATGTAAACCTATTCCTAATTTTTAATTCCTGTTTTGACTTTTATTTTTATATATCTTTATTGCAAGTTTATATTGTTACATATATATACATCATTATTACATTTTCAATACATTCATTCATCATTTATTCATAAAATAATATATATAGTTGATTGCCTTAAATGGACACAGCCTAATGTAGTTGTTCTGGTGAGCTTAATCATTATTATATGCAGTGGTATATTTTGGATCTGTGCTGCCCTAGGTACGACGGAACTTGGGCACCCCCTAATTTACATTTGCCCCACCCCTTCCTGTCAATGCCTGTTAAAGACTAACACATACACTTTGACTCACAGACACATTCTCAGATACACTGACACACACACACACTGATTTGACACAATCTGACAGACACACACAAACACTGACTCACTCACAGACACACACAATCACTGACATACACACAATGATGCTGACACACACTTACAGACACACACACTGACAGGCATGCACAATCACTCAGACACACTCTCACTCACAGACACAAATACTCACTCATAGACACACACAATCACTCAGACACACACTAACAGACATACACTCACAGACACACACTGACAGACATACAGACAAACAAACTGAAAGATATACAGACACACTGACAGCCACACACACACACACACACACTGACAGCCAGACACACACACACTGCCACTAAGCCAGACATTGTCAAGGTTAATTCTCCCCAACACGCAAACCAGAGACCAATAAAGGCAAACACAGATAGACGTATTACCGGACCTTAAAGTGGCCGGACTTAACGTAGGAACGAGAGATAAGAATAGTCAAACACGCCAAGGTCAGGAATACAGAGATACTGGAAAACAAAATAGACAGAGCCAAGGTCAGGGAGCCAGAAATAAGAATAACCAATAAACAAGCCGAAGTCAGGAACCAGAGAAAAGACAACTACTCAGATCGCACTCTCGGGCTATAATAAACCACGACAGGGCAAGGAAGTGATGTCAGAAGGAGGTTTAAATAGGGCAAGGTGAATACTGATAGGCAGGGACAGAATTGAATGAGGTATAAATAGATAGTGGCAATAGGCCATTATCTCTTTAAATTTGCATCCATGTCATCCCTGCCGGTTACCTTGTGCGCGCGCGCACATCCCCGGGCGCTCTCCCAGACGCGCATGCGCCCCCGGAGGCGCACACACACGACGCCCGCCAGCGATCCACACCGCCCGAGATGACAGGATGGACGGCAGGGACCGGGAGGGCGAGGGACACCAAGTATGACAGACATACACACACACGCACACACACAGACACACTGCCAGCCAACCAGCTAGACACATACACACACACCCACACCCACACATATCCCCCCCCCCAACACTCACAGAGTGTGGGAGAGCTGGGTGGATTTTTTACCTGGGGTCCAGTGGGGCTGTTGGCAGGGCTGCTTGGGCAGGGAGGGAGGCAGGCGTGCAGACAGTTGGGCGGTTAGCTGAATATTCCATCTCCCGGTATCACTCTGCGTTGCGCAAGGGAGCTGAGCATCGAGAGCTCACAAATCAGTGCTCCCAAAAGTAAGTAATGCGCTTAGACTCTAATGACCATATTACACATCAGCCCCAATACATATGTTCTATGGTCATTGCTGCCGCCCAGGAGTAGTGGGAATCTGAGCATGGGACTTAATTTTGTGTATTTGTATTATTTATATTTGCTTTTGTATCACACAGCCATGTTACAATGCTGCCACCCATCCCATGTGTTCCCTGTTAAAGGTTAATAAGTATGTAAGGGTTTAATAAAAACACCCCTCTTTGTCTCATTAGAGATTTTTTTGCCAGAAGCTAAATGAAGCAAGATGAATTGTTTGTGTAGGACCCAACTAAGAGGTTTGTCTTGATGTGGCAGGTAGACTTACATCTAATGGCCATTGGAGTGGAACTAAAAACATCAATTTATCTAAATATAAATAGGGATTGGTACCTGTTGCAAGGATTACTGGGGGCATTAAAGTAGCTGTGCAGGTTACTGATAGTTATTACAAATGCCACACCAAGTGGCAGACAACAATTTAACCACACACTCCCCCAAAGAGCAGACCTTGTTCTCTCATTGATCTCTATGGACAATAGATGGAGTAGTGCTAGCAGTGTTATCAGGGGAGGGCTGGCAGCCTTAGGCCTAGGGGACAAATCTAGTCAAGTGGCCCATTGCACCACTGAATCAGCTCACCATCCATGCCCACCTTTTCCTGGTTTTATAACGGATATTGATGTTATGCTAATCAGTAGCTCTTTGCCATATTCAATCTGCAGCGCCATTACGCAATGGCTCTCTGACCTTGCTGAAACTCAGTTTCAGAAGGTGGTTCCTGCTGGGGTACCGGAAGATCTAGGATAGGTTTTAACCCATTAAGTTAATAGAGCGCCTGGGGGCCTACTGGCACCATAGCAACTTCATTTAGATTAAATTGTTATGGTAAACAGTGCTCCTTTAACCAATATGTCTACATCTCACATAATCAAAAGAAAATGAATACATTGATAGTTTTTTTAATATCTAATTTTACCTGGGATGATAAGATGGTTCAAAGTCTGCTTGTTAGGTACCAAAGCCTTAGCCCCATGCCCAGGATGAAGTGGAGGGATCACTTGTCTTCCACGTTGTCCTTCCTGCTCCAATCTCCTTTTCTTTGCCTTCTTCTGACACTGCCTTCTCCTCCTTGACTCCTGCTCTCCTCTCCTTTCCTTTTGCTCTCCTTCTGCTTTCCCCTCCTTTCCTTTTGCTCTCCTGCTGTCCCCTCCTTTCCCTTTGCTCTCCTTCTGCTTTCCCCTCCTTTCCTTTTACTCTCCTTCTGCTTTCCCCTTCTTTCCTATTGCGCTCCCTTTCTTTTGCGTTATTACTGCTTTCCCCTTCTTTCCTTTTGCTCTCCCCTCCTTTCCTTTTTTTCTCTCTTCTGTTCTGTTTTTCTCTCCTTTTGCTCTCCTTCTGCTCTGCTCTTATTTCCTTCTCCTCTCCTTTTGCTCTGA